CCCCCCCCCCCCCAACATATACAGATACACCCACTCTCACACACACACACACACACACACACACACACACACCCGCACTCGTGTACACATGCACACAAACACATCCATACATATATCGTTATTGTTTAAATACAATCTGATTGGTTATAACATTTGGAATTTGTGTGACAAAAATACGGCATTACAGCAGACCAGATCATTGGCTCGTTGCCTGAGAGCAAGTACTTTGGTGAATACACAGCTTAAATTTAATCAATTACCCAAAGTTATTAAGGAACGTAAGGTGACTTATTAAATACTTCCTTATACATTCGACTATCATCTCAATCTGATAGCTATCAACTACATCGGTATATTTCAGTTACAATCATGCGATATCGATACATAGCATCATAATGTACAGATACTCTCCTTTTTCAAACTAACCCCCTTCTTTGAAAAACTTCGCAATAGCACACCATTAAATATGCGTCTAGAAATAAGAAATCCCGCCATTGCTGATCTTGTTTTCAGCTGTGTGTGTAGGTAAAATGCACGAGCGTCCTGTACCCTTTTCCTTCAAACAAAATATCACGGTGCTATTAACTCTGTCCTATGGATCTCCTTGTTCTAATGTTCTTAAATTCAAATGAAACTGGCTTGTCCCACACTCCTCTGCAGCGCAACGTGCTATAAAGCGTGACCAGATATCTTTATTTTGTTGTTCTACGTTGTCAAGTTATCAAGGTTAAAGGACAATTGCTTTGGCCGAAAAGCTGTGTAATATAATATCTCTACAGACAAAGGTCACTAGGGTGCGACCCTTTAAAACAATGTGGTGCCTGGGAGGAGGTGGCATTATACTTTTTAACTCTCATGAGTTTTCAACTGTGGGTTGTTGTGTAAAGTCGCATAAGTGTACGTATTTTTACATAAAACCATGTAATGTGCACTAGAATTTTATAGATTTAAAAAATAATAATAATATTTTGATTATGAATGTATTTCCCTTGGATATGTATAGATGGCGACCCCTTAATCATAATGGTATAAACAGATACTATCAAAAACTGTTAACAACATTAAGTTCTAGATCCGCATGAAGAAAGTTTCGATGTTCAAGATTATAACTGCAACCTTCTAGCGACCTGCTGCCGAATACTTGCGACTGGCTAAAAAACTTGTTAGCGACCAGTCGACAAATTACTGTCAGTCGACCGTGCAGTTGCAAGTGGTATGCTACTGGTTATAGCAACCTACTGACAACCAAGAAGAGACCGATAGGCAACCTTTAGGATACCTATATTTTTCATCTTTAGTAGCACTGGTTTTCGGTGCACAAAATATTTTGTCATGGAGTTGTAAGCCCAGACCACAGAACCAACGACAACCTGTGTAGTATAATCGAGTATAATAGAACCCCATAACTGCTGTTTGTGGTGTGTTTTAAATGCATCGGGAATGTAATTAGACAAAGTGTCGCATAAGATACCGGGTACATGTCGCTGTAGCGTGATAGAAACTGTTATCTAATTAAGCAATGCTTCTGATGGTATCAACTGACACGCTTACGCCGCGTGTCAGCTGAACACCTTAGACAATTACAGGCAGTACGTGTCAGGAATTATTGATGGTGTAACTGCTACCCGGTGGTTGGCTCAAGTGATACCCCCTCGGAGGCAAAGGGACCGTTCCCAGTCCCTATCGTACTAACTGTGGATCGATCTATGTCCAAGAGGATATTAGCTAAATTGCAATCAACTTAAGCAGCTGAGGTGTCTGTCACGCCTACTGAAGCTGCTAGGGGGTAATTAATTATCGTTTAGCAGCTTCAGTAGGCCTGCCAGACATCTGAGCCGCTTGAGCTGAAAGCAATTTAGAGAGAATCCCCTCGGACATAGACCGATCCCGCTAGATCGATCTAGGTATGGGAATTGGGTCAAAGTATGGCGCATAATGCCATCTTGCTAAACACATGGTGTGTAAAGCTTCAACCAACAGGAGGTAAATTAGTTTATTACTAGTTGACTACAATGAAACCATGCCACGCCTTAGAACAAGTAGTTTTTAATAGTATGAACAACATGCCAACATTAGAACTGTATAAATGCTCAATACCCTTGGACTCGAGTTAGGAAAATAGTATCCCAGCAAAATATTATCTGGGGACAGACTTTACTATATGTTACTACACTGTATGTATCATGTAAAGTAATTGTTAACAATACAGAGACGATTATTTGTGGCAACTGTATTTGTCTGCTTATTGTTATTTTAGCAAATGTGCGTGTGTTTACCGAATGATGCAAGGCCTGTAACAGTAAACAAAGGGGAAAGCTGTATTTTTATCATTTCTTCCTGGATTTACAAAAAATATTGCTTGTATTCATAGCGTGAAAATTATTGTAATTTTTGCTTTGATGTCATAGAATCGTAATATGATACTGTAAGGCTTTTTGTGTGGTGATATAAATTATGAAAGGCACTGAAATAGTGAACTCCCATGGGAGATAGATAGGAAACGCTTTGATGTAGAGAGTCTAGGCACCACTTCCATTAAAAACAATGCTTAAATATAGGAGAGTGATGGATCCTTGAAAGCTGTAAAGTAGAGGTGATGACGTCATCCTTCATTCCATGCTTTAATGTGTGTGTGTAACAGAATTATTAACAGGATAATTCATTTTATCAAAAACTTTGCAGAAAACGACATTTTCGAACTGTTGTATACCAGACAACCGCGTTAAGCTTAAAATATATGTACAAATATTAAGACATCGGTTAGATAACATAAACCGAGAGACTGATCACAATTGGTCGGAACACTTGATGTGTCCACTTCCGGTAGTTTTTACACCCTAGGGTTAGGTACACGAATGTCCTGTTTGTTACCACCGGGCTTCAGTTACTACACGAACCATGGGGGAGTAACTAAGAAATGAGAAAACCTTTTTAAAATGTAAAACCTTGTATGGTCTTACTGACACCTGCAATGGTCACCTGGAGGCACGCTGTGTCTTCTGCGGGAGTCTTCAACAATTCCACACATTCACAAGCCTCTGAGAGATCGATAAAAAGTAACGGAGCTCAAGAGAAACGGTTTGCGAGACAATCGAGCATGTTTGGGAACTACATTGCATCCCGCGGGTGATTTCCGAGTCAGTTGGCAAGAAAAGGGCAAATGTTATTCTCCAAGAGGTTGCATGACGATATAAATATAACTTATATCTCAAATCTCCCTTGGTGCTCCGTCAATGCTGGATTGCGAGCATTAAAACAGATTCATGTTTTTCTTTTATATATGTGAAAAAATAAACATTCCGTGCTATGAGAGGGTTAAGACGTGCATATTCTGGGGCATTATTGATTTGAACTGTGGTTCATTTATTTTATTTTGCCGTACACAGACAAGCATGCCACGCTGCGTTTGTTATCACACCAGATTAACCCGCACCGGAACAGTCGATATATATAGAGGAAACCCCATTGATTACCCATGAAAAGCAACCCTGACCTCGTGTTCAGTCATGTGGATGAATTAGGACAATTTCTGGCTTAATTGGACTCAGTCATTGAGAATAAAAATACTATGGACAGCTATTGGACACCCACATCACATATACTCAGGTTATGTTGACCGTTTGTACTAGCCTTACAGAAACGAACTGAATAAAATGTGGATAGTTTTGATGGAATGCGCGACAGAAAAAACTAGCACTTCATAAAAGACAGGAATTATTTTTCATAAAAAATCCAAGAGGGCGCGTACCTGCAAGACATACAGTATTGAAATTGTTCTGAAATGCAACCAAACTTGTTAAACGTACGCATAAACAGTGTTACTAACCTTAGGGAATGCTGTTTCATATTAAACTAGAAAAGCACTCCGAGAGCGCAGACCTCCGCCAAGGCAGCGATTTTTTANAACATATACAGATACACCCACACACACACACACACACACACACACACACCCGCACTCGTGCACACATGCACACAAACACATCCATACATATATCGTTATTGTTTAAATACAATCTGATTGGTTATAACATTTTGAATTTGTGTGACAAAAATACGGCATTACGGCAGACCAGATCATTGGCTCGTTGCCTGAGAGCAAGTACTTTGGTGAATACACAGCTTAAATTTAATCAATTACCCAAAGTTATTAAGGAACGTAAGGTGACTTATTAAATACTTCCTTATACATACGACTATCATCTCAATCTGATAGCTATCAACTACATCGGTATATTTCAGTTACAATCATGCGATATCAATACATAGCATCATAATGTACA